GATAAGAAGTTAGTGGAATCATTTCTTGCTTGGCAGGTGAAATATAAGCTGGCTCAAAATTTGGAGCACTAGGCGTGATATAGTTGCATTGTATTTTATTTCTTGCTATGGCCAATCTATCAGATAATTGGCGCCTCTTATGCTTTGAATAGCTTATATAATCATAAAGTTGATCTTGCAGAACATGATAAGGTCTATACAATCCATCAATAGAATACCATATATCCAAGTTTACAGTGCAACGAATTCCTCTACTAGGCATATTAAGAAACTTCTTTTCCTTAAGAGTATTATCATTTCTAACCGCCTCCCAAACTCGTTTTGCAAAAGTTTCAGGTTGCTTCTTATAGTTCCTATAAGCTCTTTGGATAATCCGAGCACTTCTATCTGGAGTTTTAACTTTGGAGCATTCATTATCCCAATGGTATTTCATCAAGTCCTTGGATTTAATCTCATATCCATATCTGCACCATCCACTGAAATATGTTTTTTTTGGTTTTATATCGGTAATCTTTACCAATTTCCAGCAATCAAAACAAATAGCCATATTACTCTTATTGATTCTGGGCCGATGATAGTCAGAATCAACCATCTTGCCATTCCCAAATCCTGCAAACAAGCAATGTAGGTGATATACACTAAATCTCTGATTGGCTAATAATTCTTGTAATNAAAGATCCAGACGTATTCGTGACCATCACAGAAAAAGATATCAGACTATCTCATGAATATAGGGACAGAATGATGTCGGACGCAGATGCCATCGATTTCGCGAAAGAAGACGGTATGAATGTAAACGATATATTTTATATGTCTAGGAGAGAAAGGCTAATAAGTGAAGAAATATATCTCTGCAACTTCGAGAATGCATGTAAGCTCCGGACATATGTTTATGATGATGAGGAGTGGCAAAAGGGTATTAGCATACTTCAAGAGAACGGTCACCTATGGTAGGTTTGATATCGACAAGAAATGACAAAAAATATAAGTATACTCAGCGCAAGCGCAGAGAATGGTATGCTTTGGTAAAGAGTGAATAGAAGTGGGTTATGAAATATTAGTAGGGATGGGACTTTTGTTCTTTACAATTAGGCAATATAAAATCCCAAATTATTATTATTTTTTTCGCATATCCTATCTACCCGCAATTTTCAAATATATATAAAAGATATTCTGGCCGGAGCTTGTGACCTCATAGAGAGCCCGCAATAAGTTATAATATTCTTTTTGCCTACCGACCATGGATGTCAGAATAATTATTTATTTTTTCGAATTGAACTTTCTCCGCATAGTATATACCAAACAACCTAGGTATAATCAAATATCTTACATATTACCAAATAATAACATGGCTGGCATCGCTACTAGATATGTAACAGAAAACGAGCTCAATATCGAGATAAGTATCGAAGAGCTTAGTAACCACGCTCCGGCATTGGATATCCTTTTGACGGATAAAGTTAAGAGGGATCAGGCACGACAACGTCTCCAAAAGGGATATAACTTTAGCAAAGAACAGGTATTTGCATTAATTCCTAAGCAAACAGCTGGTCGAAAAAAAGGAGGAGCCTTACCCAATGCTCCCAATGCTCCTGAAACTCCCGATATCACCCAAGAAGCAGAACCGGACGCAGTGAATACATGTCAAATTTCACCGAAAGAGACTATTAGAGATTTGGCCCAGCGTATCATTCGGGATAATCTTGGTGAAGCAGAAATAAAAGTTATAGCTAATACCTTAGCTAAATCCGCCTCTAATGCTAGCGCTGGTTCATCACGCCTTACTAGACTTCGAAGAGAGATGAGAGCCCTCGAGGCTTCAGAAAAAATAGTCTCTGATACAAAGATTCCAGACACAACCCGTTCAGCTAATAAAATTCAAAAGGAGAATAGATTGTTACATGAAAATGAAGGAATCGATTATCCAGACCACTTCTCATTAGAATCGGTTAAGGAAAGACTGGATTTATATGATGTGTCCAATATACCTGATAAACAAGCCCTAGCCGATGTAATGATAATGCTTTGTATTCGCCCTGCTAAAATTAAAGACTTACGCATATCTAATGAAAGCGTAACTGAGTATGGAAAAAACCGGGGACAACAAGACATTCCCTGGGTATTCAGATCACTAGAGAAGAATGAGGAACGGGCGAAGCAATTGCTTATATGGATTCAGGAAGCAATTTCTTCTGGACAGTTAAAAGACCCAGGAAAGCCAGGTGTATTATGGTTCAATACATTCCTAAAAAAGGATGAATTCCTCCCTAAAGTAGGCAAACCACTACTTCCTAGTTCTTTGCGCAAAATAGGGCAGTATTTGCAGTTGTAGCTCATGGAGCGAAGAATTTATCGAAAGCTGAGACCATTGCTAGTGAAGCACTTCGCCACAGTCCCGACAACCATGCCTCTCCTGCAAAAAACTATACTATAGTAAATTATCGGTTAAGAGGGGAACCATATAATCAGGCAACGGTATTCAAGCTCTCCGGTGAAAACTAATCACATATAAGGTTAGAAGACCAGAGTATTCAATAATATTCTTGGTGTTTAGCTTCCAATTTATTTCTCTATAATTCATATGCAGGAATCAGCTATACAATATTTCTTCCACCGATCATGAGCAGGTCCTAATTGGGAATTTTATTTTTTCTCTCGAGGCAAGATCTAGCATATAGAATATATTACGAAAATGGTAGCTGATCAAAAGTATTCATCTGATCCAGCGAGCAGGAAGTTATCAGATATACAGAGAAATTAGCCCAGTTATTAGGAACAGATAAGCAGAATGCAGAGGTATATATTACGCTTTCTGACGAAAATAGGGTGCTAAAGAAACAGTTGGAAGAATATCATTCCCAACATAACACTTTAGAAAGGGGGTAAAAAGGTTAGAAAGGGATGTAAAAGATCTGGACGAATGCGTGGATAGGGAAACTGTGGTCGACTTAATACAAAAAATAGTCCCCTCGCTGGTTAGAGAAAAAAGCCCAATAAAGAATAATCCTTCTTCCTGGCTCTTCGTCTGACTATTAATCTGATTCTGATATTGATGAAATAGTAAAAATGATTAAGCATCAAAGGATTCGAATCAGATCCGGGAGCGCCAAGTCCAAAGGAAGGTTTCAGAAGAAAAATGTATATCATCCAACTAGTCTGGACCAGTTATCACTCCGCGCTATAGCTAACCGATAAATGCCAGTTTGCAGTGATAGAAATTTATTTTTTATATTTGGATATTATATATGCCATAATAAAAATGATATTCGTGAATTGTGTAATCGAAGAAACCAGCCCAGCCAAGCAGTACTCGATACAGGCGCTGATGTAAGTTGTGTTAGCCAAAAACATATTGGTGAATTAGGAATTACATATCACAGTGAAAGCAATAGCATTGTAACTCCGGATGCATTCTATTCCACATTAGGAAAAGTCAATCTGCATATTGGTTTTGAAGATGGCGAGAAGCATAAAAGCACACCCGTTGAATTCATAGTTTCTGGACCAGATTGGCCTGATTATTTTCCTGACTTAGTATTGGGAGGGCCATGGTTTTGAGAAAATGGTGCAACTTTGGATATATGCGATTCAAAACTATTATTAGATGATAATTTTGCGATCCCATTCAAAGAAGTAAAAAATGAACCTAATGCAAAATAACAATTATCCGAAGCAGTGGTCATCAATATATGTAATTTTGCAAAGCATCTTAACGGCTATTTTTTTATTAAAGATACAGCATATATTATCCATGGCACATTCTAGCGATATTAATATACCAGAACTATTAGAGCAGATTCTATATTTCCTAGCGGTAGAAAAATCCCTCTACCCCGCTCTATTTGTTTCCCGATTGTGGTACAGATGTGGTGCCTCTTTTCTATGGGAACGCATTGAGCTAAAGGGGAATGACCTGAAATATGGCCATCATTTCCCAGACGATTATACTTATCATAAGAGAGACTGTACTCGATGTAAAAGATTTATAAAATTAATAAATGAAAAACATAAGCCAGCTTATGTCTTGAATACAACCCACCTAGAAATTACTTTTTGCCATTCACTTTCAGATAAAAAAATAAGAAGTATTGTGGAAATGTTCCCAAATATAGTTCATTTAGATTTCAAAGATAGTATAGGTTTTGGTGATAAATCAGCGGAATCATATCCTAATTTAAGATATCTCAATTTGTGGGATGCTCAAGCAATAACCGATAAAGGCTTATGTGCAATCATAGGATCATGCCGTAAATTAGAACATCTAAATATTTCTTACTGCGAAAATATTAGCGATAAATCTTTGTTTGCGATCACAGAAAATTGCCGTGATTTACAAGAGTTCCATTTTGCCAAAGCGCGTTGGATTACAGATAAATCTATAAGTTGCATCATAAACTCATGCCCAAATTTACGAAATCTTGATATTGCATGTAGTAAGGGGGATGTCAAAGATGCTAGTATGTTAATACAGAGATGTCTCAGCATAGAGTATCTTGACTTTAGTGGGGCTATGGCTTTGTGGAATGATGAATTGATTATAGCCATCATCAAAGGATCTCCGAATTTAAGACACTTAGAGATCGATGGTAATGATATCACTGATAAGGTTACTGAAGCACTGGCCCATTCTTGTCATAAATTAGAATATCTCGATCTGGGTTGCTGTGATTTTGTTAGTGAACCATCAATTTGTAATGTTATACGTTCCTGTCTAAAGCTCCAACATCTTAACCTTAGTCACTGTAATATTACCAGTACGACTATCAAAGAAATTGCTCGCTCATGTCTCAGTTTAAAAATTCTAGATTTGGAAGGATGTGAAAATATTAGCAAAAAAGCTATGGACCAGCTAAATCCAAATATTAATATCGAAAATTTTGATGAAGATTACTGTTCCGATTCGGAATCTTCTAGCTCTGAAACCGAATCAGAGTCTGAATAATCTAGCTAGTCCGGAGCGGTGATCACTTCGCTCGAAAGAAGAATTTGCTGGGCCACTCCTGTGCGACAGAAAAATAAGTGGATCATCAGTCAGGTCATGTGCAACATAATTTTCGCATATACTGAAAAGAAGCTATGTACGCTACCAGTACTTTATTTTTTATTAAGTATAATTGATCTACAATATTAGCAAAATGTTTGATGAGGATATAGATGCTGAGAAGGAGAAAGCCTTCGATGAATTTACCAAAGAATATGGACAGAGAGAAGAGGATTGGACTATTTATGATGATTGGTATGACTGGGATGACCTTTTTTGTGAAATTAAGACCCATTGGAACACAAAAGCTGTCAAGTATTGGAGAGAGAAAATACTTAAGCGATTTGTATATAGTCTACCCAGTGTAAGTAATCCAACGTCATTATTCCATGTACTCTTACAATCCAATGTTATTTATCTCCCACAAATAATAAGTCTAATAGAATTGCCATATTATCCACTTGAACTTCGATCAGAAATATGGGGTCCCTCCAGGACCTGGCCGGATGGTATATATTGGTCAGTCCGAGGTCAGTGATCTGGTCCTCTTCAGCTCGAAAGAATTTGCTGAGCCACAGATTGTGTGACAGAAAAAGGCCGATCACCAGGCAGGGTTTGTGCGACATATTAATTTTCACATATATATTCGAAAAAACATATTAACCTTTATTCTTTATTTTTTTCCCGAACAAACATGAGAAAATGTGAAAGAATGTCTACAAGCAACACAGGACCAACTCTAAAAGTAAATAGCGCCGGCAAAAGCATATGTTATGAAGGGCTGAGGGACTCACAATTTTGAGATCGCCAGGCGTAAAACCAACTATAGTCTCTCCGGTAGATCTACATGTGAAAAGGTATGAGATTTCCGTTTGCATGCGCTTTCATAGGACTCTTGGCATCAGACGACAGTACTAATTACGCCTCATACCTTCTTAACTCTTTCCCAGCAAGATATAAAGCATGTAGGAGTATGTAGAAGTTCAGCCAACTTTCCGCAAAAAACTTTCTCGTAAAATAACACAAAATAAGGTATGTATATGCCCTAAATTATGTATGTATGGGAGCGAGTTTTCTCACTATGGGTCTTATATTTAGGAAAACAAAATGGACGAAATCACTCTCAATTGTCTTATCGTTCCTATAGGAAAACTTATGAATATCCCTTGCGTTAAAGTAATGCAGGCGATTAGAGTTGAAAAAGATGAAAATTATATCATGCTCGAAGCTACAATTCAAAGCAGATTGGATGTTGAGATCCCACTCAAATTATGTATAATTCAAGCCGGAAGCAATAGTGAAAAGGTAATGGATAGTAGTACCCCTATTTCCGATTATTTTACTGAGGAGCCTAAAGCAGAGCACTTTCATATTACTGTATACCCCCGGTCAGAATAATCTTCTGTATCATGTAGCGCTATAGTCGCAATTTTATGTATTGTAGGCCGAGTTCCGGCAACGTTTTTTTTATTTCTTAAATAAAGCATATATTACGTTCTTGTCGTAAATCTTGAAAAATATCACGTGTAATGATGTAATATAATCGCCTGACAATTCTGTACTACATCTTAATTGCATATATATTGGGCAAATGCATTATGAATCGATACAAAAAAATCTATCATTTCTCCCGAGCGCTTTTTATATCCATAAACAAGCTTTACCTGTAACTGCATATTTTTTCGCAAGCACAAACTCACATATATAAAAACCATGTCTTCACAAGCTTCTTCACCCGCTTCACCCGCCTCAATAACGGAAGAAATATCCACTAGAACAATGTCAGACGTGGTTAGGGATTTTAATACAGAGGAGCTTATCGAATATTTGGGGAGGAAAGACTTGAAGCTCAAGGAGTCTCACTTTAAAATTTTACGCAAGGAAGAAATAACCGGTCGCTCTTTCCTCAAATTAACCGAAGAAAAACTTGAACGTTATGGTATGAAAGGAGGACCTGCAACAGTTCTTGTAGAATTTATTGAAGGCCTCAGTCAGAAATTACGAAACTATTCCTCGCTTAAAACTCTCGACGACCTGAAGGAAATGTTACGTAGAAATAAGGTCAATGGGGAGGATATAACAAACATCAAGCAGTTTACTCCCGGTAGGTAATTAATTATTTTTTCGAAAGTGACTAGATAGCTATATTAACTTTATTTTTTCTGTAGTCTTCGAGGAGATTAGTGATGATGATAAGGCATTCAAACACTGTATGGAGGATATTATTTTAAAACTTTCGAACGTGGAAACCATGACCGATGCTAATGAGGCGACGCGCTGTGAATTTATTTCAGCAATATTACATGCATCTATCGCGATAGCTAAAAATCTCACCTCTCAAGACATATTTATAGTTTTGCAGAAAGACGTTTCCGGTGAAGATGCCACTGGCCGAGTAGACTACGCGATCAAAAGTTTGGAAGACCTACTTTGTATAACTGAGGGGAAACCACGCAATATCAAGATTGGATATGCGCAGGTAAGACTACTACTCAAATTTATGTTTTTAGAGCACCAAGCCGAAAGAGAATCAATAATATTAACGCATTTTATTTCTTAGAATCTGGCGCAACTTGAAAGTGCATTTCAGACAAATAAAAAGAAACGGACTGCGGATCAAGCATTTGGGAACGACTATTTTGATTATATATATGGTATTGTGACTACAGGCACAGAGTGGCATTTTATCATATATACTCCTGATGGTATATACTCTACGAGCGGTAGTGAATATCAGATCAATCTCACGAAGTCCGCAGTTAAAGATAATCCCGAATTACTTCGAAGCAATGTGAAAAGGGTAATCGGCATAATTGTAGGGTTATTGAAGGATCGGGTTAGTGTAGATAGTTCCCCAACTAGCAAGAGGGCTAGGATCGAAAAAATTATTAAAAAATAATATGTATCCTGGGCTACATCCCGAACATTTGTATTTATTTTTCGCATATATTAATAAAAAATTTTTCATTTTTTTCTTGGCAAATTTCGCTTACGGGCCGTAAGGGAAAAACATGTGATATATTTTTTTATTTTGAATGCTTATATACATTGTATTAGTTATATAGATCATGTCATCCGAGCTTGAATCATTGAAACAGCGTATCACTGAACTTGAGGCTGAGAATGCAGAGCTTAGGAAGGAGAATACTGAGATCCGCGATCTTAGAATCAAGCTCTTGGTGTCTGATGCTGAAATAGCTGAACTTAAGCATAGGAATAACGAGTTTCTAAGAGCGAATGCGGAATATAATGAGAGGCGTGATGCTGAAAATGCCAAACTCAGGGCCGAGAATGTTGACTTTAGAGATAGACTCACGAAAGTGGAACAGAATCAGACTCTACAAAACGCCTTAACGGCAAATGATAATTCTTTTAACAACAATTCATCTAACTTTGCTTCAGCGCCTTCGGCCAATTTGGTTGCAGAGCCAACGGTAACACAACATGAGAAACCGTCAGTGGATGAGGAAATGGATACTTCATTACCTGAAGAACCGATACCAGAGGAGTTGACAGAGGTAATCATATCAGCTGTTAATATGTCTGTTATGGACCAATGTGATCAGAAATCCTTGGAAGATAAGGAGACGGTTGCTTTCTTGGATGAAGAATACAAGAAAAGGGTTAGCGATGAGATCAGACAGCGCAATAGAGAGAAAAAGCTTCGAGACTTGGGTTTACCTGGTACTTCTGATATCCCTTCGTCAGAATCATCCACAAGTTCGCATCCTATCCCTAATAACCCAGTCTTATCAGAACAAAATGCTAAAATAAAAGCACCTGAAATAGATATACAGCTTTTGATACAAGAATTGCTTATAGAACCTTCGGAAGAAGATTGTGTTAAGGTTGTTAATGTGGAGGAGAGTGATCAATCGCCTGCAATCGAATTAGCACATCTATATGAAAAAACGAAATTTGCTGAAATTAGGACTATATGAGCCAAACAAGATGAAATCATGAGCTGGTATTGCTATAGAAGGTATTTTAAAAAAAGACATAGTGAGATTTTACCTGGAATTCTGGAGAATGGAGTTATTACGAACAAAAAAGCCTATGAACTTGCGAGTGGGCAGATTTATGATGAAATGCTACAGTATCTTTCAGGAGTCTCTTGTGTAAACTTGCGCAAAAAAACCCAGCTAACTAAGCCTATATATATGTTAATTAACGAAATTGGAGAAGATAAGATTATGCGAATCAAATCTTATAGTGCAAACAAACTCTCAAAGTTAACTGACATGCAAATCGATACTATTAAAAATCATCTTACTACATAGCGTGAAAAAAATTCACGCTCTCACGTGACTTCTGAAATAATCACCGGTGATGCAACTGCGCCTGTTGAATCTATGGTAAGCGTTCCTAATTCTTTAGGTGATTCCAAAGTAATCGGTCCAGATAATTCACCACCTATTCCACCAGCGCCATGCGTAAGCGCCTCCGGCCAAGTTTCACATGTTCCTATCAAGATATCTAAATTCCCTGAAGATAGGAATATCATCTATGAAGCTGTACGTAAACGTTTCCCTTTCTTATCATGGACTAAATCAATTACAAAATATCGAGATCATTTCGAATATACCAACTCTGAAGCCAAGTGCCCAGCATGTACGAGCATTCACACACATCGAGGCATATGGGGTGATTTGACTTGCCAAAGTAAAGATAATTTCTATTATCTTATGTGTCCCTGGGATATTCATTAAAACAAGAAAGTCAAAATTGCTACACAGGTTTGCTAGATCGATCATCTGGCCGAAGGCACTTAACGCAAATGCGCAGAAGATGATAAAGGACTGAATCATCATCGTATCTTTTTTTCGACTCACGTGGGTGGCTTAGATATCGTGCACAGTAAAACGTCATCTGCAATAATACGTCACTGGCTCATGCGCAGTAGTGTGGTCGCAGTCGTTATTTTTTAGAGAATCTATTAATAACCCCGGCCAAGAGCAATATTTTGCGTTACTATACTTATGAACATTCTCCAAAGTTCCGGTATGTTCTATCTCACTTGTTACGCAGTTCTAAATTACTAATAAAAAAACAGATCCTGATTTACATTGCGGATCGTAAGACAGGGCGCTGTTAAAAAGAGAATCAAAAATGAAAATAGAGCCGATTAGAATCTATGATTTACAGATCCTCAGATAAACGGTATATTTTTATTATCCTACTGACGTTTAGCGCATTCAAATTACGTATACAGGTTAATCACATATTAATCCGTTTTTTGAATAGGAATTAGTTGTACATGTGTGATTCGTCATCTACGGATCTCGATCCATGATGAACAAATATTCCGATTTTTATTCTTACAATTGAAATAGGGGTAGGGTAATAATAACTATTCTACATAACGAACTTCCTTTTTTGGGAAGGCTGTGAACTTAAACAAAGATACCCACATGCGATCTTCTGTTTTGCAAGAGATCTTAGAAGTAAACGGAAAATTTTGAGATACGGCATTGCTCCATTAGTGTTACATTAAGTTGTCGGATTTACTTTTAAGCTGTATTGTTAAATTCAGGGAGGAACATTTGTTATTATTAGACGAGATCCAGGCCGTTATAATTGCTTTAGCTGAAAAAATATAATTACATCAGGAAATTTTATAGCGCGAAAAATTGCGTAAGTTTACGATTTTGTAAGTTTATGAAAGTTTATGGCATAATATTTTTAAAAATTTCAAAATATTACGTAAGTTTACAATTTCGTAAGATTTATGTGATATTACGGTTAAAATATTACGTAAGTTTACAATATCGTAAGATTTACGCAATATTACGGTCAAAATATTCTGCAAATTTACGAAACTGTAAACCTGCGTAATAT